AAGGTCCCTTCCAACCCAGACCTTTTTATGGTTCCAAATACAGACTCCTAGTTCTGTCTGGGGTTTCTTTTGCATATGGGCTGCACAGGTGGCTTGTGCAGGCTTACCTACAGCCTCCAGTGCAGCCAGGCTGTGTCAGAGCTGCTGCTCTGTGTACTGCAGTGTTTCTGCATGGGCAGATGACAGGAAGGGGTTGTTAAGACCTTCCCCCTGCTTTAACTGGGGACGGGACTTCCAATACACAGGCAAACCCAATTTGTAGACAACACTTTCAAGCAGAAAGAGATGTACCGAAGTCTTAACCCTAGAGGTGTAAGTCTAGTGGTCAGTGCATTTAGTACTCCACTGATTTATGTTCAGTAGGTGAACAAACGGATAATGACTCAAAATCCACTGTTGCTCCAGCATGTGACCGTCTGTGATCTACACTGGTACTGCAGAGCTGGACCCTGTAATTGCTGCCTCAAATGCCACTACGATGAGGGTAAGATACTGGTCAGCGATGCAGCAGGTCCTGCCAGAGCCTTCAGTGTCACCACCTGAGATTACAGACTGTTGGAAAGTATCTGGACAATATGTAATTCTAAAGGTAGAAGCTTCCACCAAGTTAAATATTTTCCAAGACTCACAGGGAATTCCAAGGGGTGTTTATGTGGGCTGATGCAGTTGTATGGGGGATTGTCCCCCAGTATGTGGATTTTGCATTCTAACTTGGATAGTCCAGGCAGTTCAGCTGGCACAGTCCCCAGGCCATTCATCCTCCCAGCACACAAATGATAGTAGGTACATGGAACCGATTGTGTTTTGACTGAGGGTGGAGTTTGTAACCAAATTAAAAAAGAAAAACCAGACCTCAAGAAGCACCTGAATGCTGACCAGAAAACACGTTTCTCTGTACAAACTACATGCCTCCTTCTCTTGATGAGATAAGGTAGAGACAGACCACAAGAAAAATTTCACAGACATGAAGAAGCAGTTCTTTCCCATACCAGTAGGTGCGTCCTAAGAAGTCGTGTCGCCACTCGCCGGGCACTGGTTTCTCATGGCCAGTTTGTAAAAGCCTCAAAGCAATTTCTCTCTCTCTGACAACCAAGTCTATATTTTTCATAGATTTTTGTACCTGGAAATAGGAAATAGTTGCAGAATGAGCCAACAAAACACAGTGCTGACAATTTAAAAGATCTCAAAAGACAAAATTTAAAGGAAAACCAAAAGTAAAACACACTAGGAGTTCCATCATGAGTAATCTCACAGTTGTGGACTGAGTGGAACAGCTGAACCAGCTCTGTGTCCCAGAACAGTGAAGAATCGGTGCCTTAAACAACCTAACAAGTACAAGAGAGGAAATAACTGATGGTGACTGTCGGTTAGGTAGCTGGCTAACACGTAACACCAGATCTAACGCTGATGCTGGAAGCACAGGAAGCTCAGAGGCAGGGGTGGGAAGGAGGCAGGGGAATCACAGAGAAGATAGGCTCTGTGTGTTTTTGTCAGATGGTTTGTTACTCTAGGTTTCCTCTTGGAGTCTGGGCACAGCCTGTTGGCTGATTAGGAATCTGCCCTGACCAAACTGCGACACTTGAGTTGAAGGTTCTTTGGCCAGGTAAGGTTCTTTGGCCAGGTCCATCTCATGCTTTTAATGCACGATTGTTAAATGCTCTGGGAAGCAGCTAGAGCTCATCTTAAGAAGCGGACTGCTGTATTTTGTTGCAGTGCAATCACAATATTTAACTGCTGCTTGACTTCTGCTTTTCTTGGGCTACAGCCAAAACCAAACTGGCAACCAGTAAAATCTGACTTCTGAAGTGCTGGGGCCAAGTCCTTCACCAGTTCCCTCCCAGAGCAAGTTCCATTGCGATGCACAGTTGCTGAACACAGGCGTGTAGGTGTGACTACGCTGAAAATACTGGTCAGAATGGGAGTCAAAACACTGCTGAGAAACTGTACTGTGATGAACTAGAACAAGGTACAGTAGGAGAGCCACAGGGGAGCTTCACGTTGGATCTTCCCTAATCTACAAGTGCAGTGATGAAATGACAAGAATAGGAGACCAAATCCGTGTCCGACACAGGAAGAGCTCATAACGCAGATGGAGCTGCATGTGATGGCAAATAACAGTTCCACGATTAGCCAAATAAATTCAGAGGAACAGTGTAAAGGTCTGACTTTTCCCAAATTAATTTGGATAATTCGGGGGATATCTAGGAATCTCTCATGTCAAACAGCTGGATTGTTTAAGTGGCCAGTGAACGTGCAGATTTCCATCTGTGAGAAGGAAGCACAGGGATGGCAGCTGATTTATAAGTTAATGAAATTCCTAATGGTAAAGATATTGAGGAAAAGAGTTTAATAAATTAAGTGGCAGAATCACAATAATGCAAGAGGAGGGGATGGCAAAAGCGAGGACAAACCAAAGGGCACAAGTCTGGAGAAGACCATGCCAGCGGCAAGAAGCTGGCAACAGTTAAGTAACTAAAAGATGTTTATGAAGGAAAAGGATACAGATAATGTTGAAGTTTTACCAGGAAGTTTCTAGGCATGAAGATGTCAAAATATTCCTTAAAATTATGTAACAATGGAGAGGCCTTTTCCACTATGTTGCTTCAGCACAGTGTTTGTGCCTACACTAAGATGAAGGAAATGGTTTGAAAAATGGTCTTTAACAAGCCTTTCACTCAGCCATTTCAGTTTGAGTTATATTTTTAGCTAGTATGAAAAAGTTACCTTCTGTAATCGTTCTGGACTTGGCATAGGCCTGAGTTGTCGTTTTGATTCTTGCTCTAAAGTTAGAAGCATGTTTTTTTCCTTCAGTAGGACATACCTAGAAGAGAAAGCACAATACTTAAGAACAATTTCTAGACGCACCGACAGTCACTCACTCAGCACCCTGCTACAGAGAGTGCAGTTACCCAACCCGTAACCCCACATCCCGCACCTGCCAGCTTCATGTGAAGAAGCAAACAGAGAGGGACCAGCTGGAAAGCCCCGAGAGTTGGGCAGGGGAGGGCTGATGTACAGGGACATACAAGGAGGGGCTGAGGGAGACACATTCACTTAACCTGGAATAAAGACGGCGAAGGAAGGGTGAACACTGTGCTGCCACTACCTGACAAAGACAGAGCCAGACTCTTCTTACAGGTGCACAGCAAAAGGACAAGATGTAGCAAGGAAAAAGCTATTTGCAGTAATAATGAAGTGCTAGTTTACCCCTGGCACAGGTTGTCTAGAGTAGCGATACAATCTCCAGCCTCAGAAACTTTCAGAATCGGAATGGATGCAGACCTGAGCAACCAGATCTAATTTGGCAGCTATCCCTCCCAAGATCACTTACCGGCCAGCCTGTCCTGCAGCAAGAACCACCCCTCCAGGGCTCAAACTCAGCCCCTTCCTACCAAACCTGAGCCCTTGGTACTGGGCACAACCACCTGCAGGACAGCTTCTGTCCTGAGCAGCACTGAACTCCCGCTGCTCCAAGCCCACAGCTTAAGCCAGCGGAGCTGCCTGGCACACTGTGTTTACTGGCTAACAAAGTTCACTAGCCACATTTTAGTGAAACATGCAGAGCTGCTTTGAAGAAAGAAAAGCTTCTTGACTAAGGCTTACTTACCAAAGTTTGTGCAAGTCTTCACTACTCTTGCCCCTTAGCTGCTTTATATTCCATGCATCCCCTATTAAGTAAAGAATCAATTTAATAGAACAAAGTTCTCATATTTTGGGTTAAAAAAAAAATAATACTCCTATCGGCAGGCTTAGCTGACTCAACACAAGAAGGATCACTGTTTAAAAATACCGCCTCTTGGAAAGCTATCCTTGTGGATATTGAGCTTTGCTTTGAGTATACAAAAAGGCCATGACAGGTACTGTGTATTTGTGTTTGGAAAAGGCAGGGAACAGGGAAAGCTGGAAGATGGATCCTTACATAGAAACATTTTCCTTCCACGGTACTGTATTTCACCAAAGAACATCTCTCCTGTGATACACTCTCACTTAAAGGCAGGCAGAGGATGTACAGCAAAATATTTTGCTGCATAATAGCTATTTGCTCTCATAGGCACAGAATAAAAAATAAGAGGCATAAAATACACAAGAATATTGATGTACGTATACAGATATGTTTTATGTAGCTATGACTATTTCTTATGTGCTAAAGGTCAGATTTCAGCTGAGCACAAGTAGCTCAACGACCACTGTCCAAAATGCTAAATATAACAACTCACCAGACTTCACTGTTTTTTCTCCCCAGTTTCTTGGATCATCAAAAAACTCCTCCAGACCTTTGCGAGACACAGAAGTGTGCAGAAACTTCAACGGAGGGAGAGGCTCAACTTTTGCTAGGGTCTTGGGGAACACATTCCGCGTCAATCTGCATCAAAATCAGAAGGAAACTTCCAAGTGGCAAGAAAGACAACACTCGTCTACATCAGAAGGCCTCTTTCATTCCTAAGGGCACAGATCCTACAGACAGCTGAATACCATGGCCTAGGGGCAAGAGGTGAGAGTTCAGCTCTTCATAAAAATGTCACCTCCTCTACCTCCAACTCATCCGATTATCGCTTATCTATACTCAAAGATAAATATAACAATTTGAAATTTAAAAGAAAGGATAAGTTTGGGCTGCACTTCACAGGAATACACCCTCCTACGCTGACCTTCACTGAACAGCAAGAGCAGTAAACACACGGCGTAAGCAGCATCGCGACTGCACAAGTGACGCGCGCAGGGAAACGCTTCATGCCACGTCTGCACGCGACGCTCCGCAACCCTGGGCTGTGTTCGGACACCGGGACACCGGGACACGCCGGCTC